AGATTTCCAGTTAGGATGAATGCTGGCTTTGATTTACTAGGAAAGCAGATGCTATGTGCAGGTTGAATTCAGGAGCATTCAGGTGAGCAGGGTGTAAAATACTGGAGGTAAGTTAAGGAAATTTGTACAAATGGAGCCATATCATACTTGGGGAAGGGGAGGCAGTTTTGTACCAGCTGATTTTGAGGGAAGGGCTAGGCTAGAGTCAGCTCAGCTTTGCCTAGAGGGGACCTATGTCTGCCACTGATTGACCCTTAGCAGAAAAATGTCAGAGAGCCCTGAGCTTTGGTTAATGAATTGTGAAGAAAGGAAAAAAAAAAATAAAAATATAGTAAGCTTGAAAAAAACCCAGAAATCTCTTATCTGAAAGAGATGTGGAATTGCAAGTGACTAAGGGAATATTCATGAGCATTCAAGTTGGGCCATGAAGTAAAGCCTGTCCTTGACACTAACCCCAGTTAGGCATCTGTAGCATTTGTGGGGCCATACTGACATTTGGAAGGAAATATGCTGCCCTCTTGGGTAATCCCAAGCTGTTTCTTCCCTGCTTTTGTGTTAGGAGTGTGGAGGTAACTAATACATAATGCATTCTGCTTTACAGCAAGTTGAAATAGGTAATCATTTGAAAAAAGCTCAATGTTGCATTATGCATCAGATAAACTACATTACATGTCAAAGCCATAAAGGTCTGCTCATTCTGGTAGCAGTCAGGTCATGTTTTATTGCTTATTAATCATCACAGACTAGAAAAGTGAATTTCTGTGCAAGCATTTCAGAATTCCTGCCCCAGGAGGTGGGTAGTGAAAATAAAACTGAAACTCAGAAATAGCATCCTTCATTATCTGTATATGTTTTCAGTTGGTCTTTTGCATATGTACTGCTTTCTACACCTAAATTAGACTTTTAGCTTCTTTTTTTCCTTTTTGTTTTTTTTTTTTCCAAGTGCTAAACGTAATTTTTGTTTTACAGACGTAATTTCATGTCACTCACTGCACAGTGGCTTTCTATTGCTGTTTATATTTGTCACATAAGTATCCTTAGATACGTTGTTTGCAACGCCCACATTTTTCTATTGCTGTTTTACAAATCTGTACCCATTTGTTTCACTATGTTAGCTCTTTCATGCTAGTTTGAGTCTGACACTGGAATTTCCATATGGGGTTATTTAGAGTTCAATGGCAAATAGCCTTTTCCTCTGAAGTTTCACCTTCCTCCATGATCAGACTGACTTCTTACCTGTGTGTGCCCACTTTTGCTCCTTTATCATGCACTCAAATACTGATCATTATTTTATTGTTCTCAAAATTCAAATTTTAAGACAACCCTAAAAAGTCATGAAACTGTAATACAGTTCTTAAGTCTCAGAATATATATACAGTGCTTAATGGTGTCTTGTTACTCAGCTCTTATGACCAGTTTACAAAAAATGTAGCTCCTAATTCAGTCAAGAGCATCCTTTCAAGAAAAGTCTTGAGAGAGGTGATGGGATGAGTATATGGTGAAATTCAGCCCGGTCTCTGTTAGGACAGTCTTTGTCAAAACAGTAAATGTAGCTCAGTCTTTGTCGGTGACTTCAACTAATGTGCCTAAAGCAGGGATCAGGTTTCTAAAGGAAATAGTAAGAAGTGAAGTTTATGTACTTTGTCAAAAAAGCTCTGCAATGTGATTGCCACCAAGGGACCAGTAGTGAATTCTAGGTGGTTTTAATGAGTAGTCATACCAAGAAGGCAGCACCATACTGAAAAGAAATACATCTGCAAGATACAATACAGCAACTATTCAAAATGCTATCATAGAAACCACACAAGGTGGGTACCATTCCTACAGTTACAACTGCAGTTCTTTGCTTCTTTAATTACTTCTTTGTGGCTGGGTCAGAGAACTCTGTAGCATATGTTGACATACTTGTCCTAACAAAGTTGAAAATATGGAATGGCACTGAAGAGCTTGCCCCTGCTTTTACCATCCTGGCATCACCTGAAATTTGGTTTAAGAAGAAGCTGATGCTGTACTAATATGGGTGAAAATGTACTTTTAGGTAGAAACAGCATCTCTCCAGGAGAAGGATTATACACTTTCAGTATAAATATCTGACCAAAATATCAGTATCTTCTTCAGTAGTGAAGAGACGGAACATCTGCTCTGTGTTTGCAAGATGATTCTTCCTCTCACTTGGTGTCATGTGGTGTCAAAAGAAAGCTATTTCCACAGTCCTTTTGACTTCATGTCCAACATGCTCAGAAGGTAACCGTGAAGGCTAAAGTGGGCTGTTCCAGCTCTCCCAGGCTGCAGCCTGTTCATTCTGTTGGCATGGTGTTCATGTGAAGCAGTGATGCGAGGCGTATCATCACATTCTAGGCCTGGAAACAGGTGGTCATTGGAAGGCAACTCTTATGCCTCTTATGAAGTTAGTTGACCTGGAAATTTTTTCAGGTGACTCATTTTTCCAATTATAGGGATGGCTTCAGTGAAATAAATGAGCCCAGTTAACTGAAATATTTATATCATAGCAAGGTTTTAAGGTTTTTATAAATAAGTAAAAATATTAAGCAAATTATTAAACATAAAATAGAACAAATATATATCTACCAGCTTAAAAATATTAATGTATGGCTTCATTTAAAAGTGACCAATCTCATGGAAGGCTTTAAATGGTTATATCTGGAAAGTTTAAACTATACAGACCATGAAATACAGAAGCAGGAATTTTTGCTTGCTTTTTAATTATAGAAGTCATCTGGTGTTCCTCTCCTTGTTACTTGGATCTGTGTAATTTACATTGATATGGAAAGAGAAATATGCTTCCTGTCTCTCTTTCCCCTGATTTTTGACATACTGTAGACATAGCAGTTTAAGAAAAAAATTGCATAGTATAATATACAGTAGTGTTCAAATTTGTGCTCATATGAAAAAATGCTTGAATTATTTCCTTGACATTTTCTACAGACATAGGTACAAGGAAATGTTAACTACACAGGGATTTTCTGTTATGTTATGCATCCTCCCCAGAATCTGTATTCTTGGTCATTCTCAAGCATCACACATGCTAAAATACACATTCAACGTACATTTGAGATAAAAATACTATGCGCTTGGAAGGCCATCGTCACTCTGTACTAGTATGTGCCCATAGTGCTTTCATTATTGTTCTCTGGTAGAGTGGGCTCCAGTTCCCATTGCTTCATGAGCTTCTCCAGACCTGTCAGTCCTACCTGCTGTCCTTCTGTGTTTTGATTTTTCCCCTAGCCTTTACGTTTGTCTTGCAGAGTCTTTATTAAACTGATGCTTTTTGCTCTGTCTCAAGTTAGGAACAGTCAGCCATTGAACATAAGTATGTAGGGTAAGATATAATTTATTAGCAGTGTTCCTGAAACAGTCTTCTTAGATTTACAGATACAGTGACTGAATCAGTCCTTAACAGTTTCATTAAACTGGATTTCTTGTTATTTGAAAAATCCTATTTGGCAAGTTGCTGATGCTTGCTATTTCAGTACCTTACAGTCTTTTGAGGAGACAGCTGGGTTAGGACATTAGTGAATATTTTTAGAATCCTTTAATGCTGAGTTCACAGGATTCTCTAAGTGAAGTACACTTATAAGCTAAGAAGTTTTTGAACAGGGTTTTTTGCTTTGAAGTTTCTAAGGGACTGCTTCAGTTCTAGTGCCACTAAAACTTAGAACATGTTCTGAGAGGCTATAAATAGTGGCAGTAAAACAATGGATTTCATTTGGCAAGTAGATCTTATCAACAGGAAGGTAAAGGAGGCCACTGCTTGCAGTGGGTACAAATGTGTACTGTGCTTTGTGGTTTCATAGAACTGGGTAGAAATTAGGCTTTTGTGGAGAATTTCCCACTGAAAGAACATATATTACAGTGACACAGGTTTCTATACTGGGGAAAAAAAAATAATTCAAAAATACTCTTTTTGAATTAAAATGTATGAGAGAGCTTTTGCCTATGTTAGGCTAAATATTCTTAACATTAGAGGCCTTCTTTTGTCTTTTTCCAGAATTAGGCCCTGTCATTTTCAACCAAATGTCTGTTTTTAAAGGCAATACAAATTAAACAGGGTTTGATGTTATTTTGCCGTATGTATTATTTTATTACTATTTTTATTCTATTTTGTGTTATTACATTATATTTTAATGTTGTTAGGTTATTGCATCTTTTTTCCCCTCTGCGTTTCATAGCTAGATGAAAGCATCGTTTCTACTATTGTGGCTTGTACTTTGCTTTTAAATTCTTTATTAGGGTGGTGAGGCACTGGAATAGGTTGCCCAGAGAAGTTGTGGATGCCCCATCCATCCCTGGAAGTCTTCAAGCCCAAGCTGGATGAGGCTTTTAGCAACCTGGTCTAGTGCTTGGCCTAGACCATGGCAGTGGGTTGGAACTAGATTATTGTTTCTTTTCAGCAGAAGTGGAAACACTGAGTACAAATGAAATAAAGGAGCTGTCGAACTCTTGTGTTTAGCTTAAGAGCAGTGTGGATGGTCACTGCTTGTACTCAGCTCATTTATCTTTCTCTCAAGTTATGGGAGCTTTTTTCTATAGCAGGGGGTCAGCTCCTGTAATAACCGATTGTTAAAAATGGAAAGCAATTTAGAAGGATTTTTCAGCCTTTCAAGCTCTTTAGAAACAAACACAGTTTGCAGAACTAGAGAAGAAAGGAACTGGTGAATTATCAGCTGGCCTCATGCAAGAGAGTTAAACATTGATGCTAATTAATGGCTAGTTAGCAGAGCACCATCCTGATCTCAGTGGAGGTTGCCTGGATATGGGCCATAAATCCACACTGCAAATGAGCTTGGAGAGGCTTCATTTCAGCTAAATGAGATGGTGGCCCTCAGCTGCAAGGAAGGTGCTAAGGCATTACTTATTAGATCAGAGTTTGGGACTCACAGAGCTGTTTAATTCCCTCTGGCTATGCAGCCACTGATTATTGTTGATAATTTTTCTAGGGCTTCAGTAGTTTTACACTGTGCACTGTTTTCCTCTTGCAGGCATTTGGACAGTCCTTCTCGATTCACCGCAAAGTGGCTGAAGATGGTGAAACACGTGAAGAAACTCTCCTCCAGGAATCTGCATCAAAAGAAGCTTATTACCTCGGGAAGATTTTGGAGATGCAGAACGAGCTGAAGCAGAGCAGGGCAGTGGTCACCAATGTTCAGGCAGAGAATGAGAGACTCACTGCTATTGTCCAAGACTTGAAAGAGGTAACTGGGGTGTGCAGGGAGCAAGGGGCTGAATTTTATTGGGGTATCATGGATGGCATTGCTGTGAGTCATGAAAATGCTACAAGAAGTAAAAACACTCACCTACCAGTCTTTGATCATCCCAGAAATACCTGAGAGGGCTGTAATTTAGAAAGGAAAAAATGTAAATTCTTATTTTTAAACAACAGTAACACCCCCTACGCCCTCAGTATAATAAAACCTGATTCAGGAAGATATCATTTCCAAAGCTCTCTTAGAATTTTGCATTCTATTTAATACTCCCTACATGTAAGTGAATTTTACATAAGCACATATTCTGCACACCTCGTATATTCATGCAACTCCTCTCTTTCTCAACATTTACATCATTTCTCAGGCTTTCTAGATTGGCTAGAAGTAGATAAAACTTTCACCAGTTTTCTTCTACTGCAAAGCAAAATTAAAATGCATGCTCATCTTTGGAAAATGGGTAACAGTAAGGAAGCCAAATGTTATTGGCCATTTGGGACATATTGGACATTGATTAATTTCAATGGAGAATTTAGTAATATTTAATAATTTGTCTTTTTTTTTTCCTTGAAATCTGGAACTTTAGACAGCAGGTCTTTTTATTTGCTATTGTTTCTATATCCCAGTTAGCAGAGGACTGATATAATTTTACTAGCTTAGTCTTTCTGTTTTGACAGTTAATTTGCATAAGTCATGTAGCAAAGCTCAGCACAAAGACCATGCATGAGAGGAAGGTGGCTCTGTTTCCTTCAGCTTTGCTAGCAAATTGGCTCTTGCTCACTTTCTTGGACTGTTAAATGCACACATCTTAGACTCACTAAGTGGTGTGTCCCACCACTCTGATCAGCATTAATTACAGTGAAATGGAGGGTAAGGAATACTAACTATCAAGTCCTCATCACCTGTCCTGGGTTTCTCCTAGATTTGTGACGATGTGTTCACTTTGCATGTGTCTTTTGTGCCCTGAAGAAGATGATGTTTACTGATATTTGGCTCCTGCCACTCCTGTGAGTCCCTGTGCAACACTGCTGATCTATTTGGCGCTCTCCAGTCTGCTCCTCTGGGTGTAAGCTGTTTTTGCAACCTGAGTGTCTGAGAAGTTACGCATGAGTGTGCTGTGATCTTGATGGCCTGTTCATTAAGGTGCCATCAATTCACCACACTCTTCTTTTATCCTTCTGCCATTTCTTCTGGTGCTTTCATGCACACATTCGTACCTCGTTCATGCCAGTCTTGCTGTTTCCCTTATATACTTCAGTTTTCTAAAGACAGCAACTACATACATGGGAAGACAGCACTTGGAAATCACCCCATATCTTCCTCGCGTTCTTCAGGAATGCTTAGACACACGGGCTTTCCCCACTGTCCAGCTGCTGGAAAAGATCTTTCCTAAGTGGTTCTGGGAAGTGATTCTTTCATATGTGTTTAACAAATTAACAAAGTTTATAATGTTTTCTGTAGCTGAGTGGAATGGCATTCTTTACACCTACAGAAATGTTTGGGACAGGGTTTCTCTGGATCTTAGTCCTTTACTCCCATTGAACGTTCTTATTTAATGGTTGCACTGGACTTCCCCATAATACAGAGCAGGTTTCAGTAAGAAATATATGCTATTTATGTACAAGTTGTAATTAAAATATGTGATTGTAATTGCTATTGCTCTGGTTGACAGCAGTAATAAAAAAAACCAAACCTCAATCAAACCCCCAAATCAAGTTAATATCTACTCACCCTGAAATCATATCCTAAAATCTTTATGGTAGCAGGCAACCAGCTGCTGACACACCTACCTAACCATCTGGTTAAAGCTTGCAGGTCCTTATGACCTGGGGTTTAGTCACAAATGGACAACCACGTTAGAGAAAATACATGTTTGGCTTTGTACTCTGTTCTTTTCTCTAGGGTCTCCTTGGGACTCCTTCAGTTGCAAATCTCCCTTCCATTTTCTGTCATGATTATTGATCTGCAAGTTATTCAGGAGACAGTTTCAGTACTTGTCCTCCTGAGAATATTGATTGTCCTCATTTCTTTAGAGTTAATAGTAACCCTATAATAATAAGTAGTGTGAGACCAGCTGCAATTATTTCCTGTTCTAATGTTAAATACGAACAACCCCTAGTAGTTCATTAAAGTGCAAGAATTGGATTTACTGGAATAAAAATAAGGCTGATAAACTGGTTGTTATTATTAAGATGATGTGGGACCCTGAGTACAAAGTCCTTGACTGTGTTGAACTTTTATTTTATGGAACTATAATCAATGAATTTAAACATAAATGGGATTAGTCCAGCCACTTCGTTACCAAGCTGACACCACACACTATTATGATGAATTACTTGAATATAATAAGAGAGAGAGAGTGATTGACACATGCCTCAGGGTTCTTAGGGGTCTTGTCACACTGAATTACACTGGTATTTTGCCTTGTGCTTAAGGGATTCTTACCCTTGTACCCAGTGCGGTATGCCTTGGTCCAAAAACATAAATTCTATGTCTTCAATGTCCAAATGCCTTCAGAAATGAGATCCCCTTCTACTGTAAGTGTTTATGAACTTTGCCTGGTTCAGGGTACTGCTTTTCCTAAAGGCAGGCTTAGCTTACTCCTAATCTTGACAACCACTAAGTTGGGAAAAAAATATATTACATGTCTGGTACATTTTGGGGTAAAGACAGTCATTAGAGCCTCCCACAGGTAGATTGCTACAGTGAGGAAGTAATTTTTCTCTTTAACCAGTATATTTGAAAATCTAGTTAGAGAAATACATGGGAAAAAAAAACAGCCCACGATGATCTTTATGTGAGAGATTGTGCTGAGTGAACAGCTGAGTGATGTAAAGATGGATTCTGGATTCAAGTTACCTGGCTGTATGCTGTCTCTTCCCATCCCTCCCCACCTGCCAATTCCCCCCCCCCCCCCCCCCCCCCAAGAATATGCTTTCTAGTTGTAAACTAACTCCCCCAGGTAATCACTGCTTTCACCTTTAGACTTAAAAGATTTGAAAAACTGTTGTGTGCAGCATTTTTGCACAGATGACAGAAATTTATGGTACTTATTCATGCACTCAGTCCCTTATGATACTGAAGACTGATAGCTAGGTTTTCAGAAAATGACCCCTGTTATTGCTGCCACATCCCTAAAAAACACAGTCAGTGCTTCTTCGTTGTTTCTCCGTTCTCTAGTCTGTCGTGGGAATTCTCTGCTGAATACATTCTGCTTCCTGAATTTTCACAGAAATCCATAGTCATATGAACGTGTATGAGCATTTTGTGAACCCTCAGAATACACTCGCATGAATGCTGATGGCTTTTAGGAATCTTGGGAATTCCACAGATCCGGAGTTTAAAAATTCATGCCTCTTTGCAAGTATCTGCCATATATTCACAGCTGATGTCTGCAGGGGAGCTTGACCTGGATCCCTTTTGCCATAAAAAGGAATGTATCACACAGGTCTCTGGAGATTATGCATCTCAGTCTGGGAAAGCAAAGAAACTGATTTTAATGCTCAGTGCTAAAGAAAGACTTTTTTTTTTTTAAGAACTTGAGCATTTGTTTCACCTTGATGGTGAAGGATGCACCAGGAATCTCTGTACACAGACGGCTTTCTAGATTCATGTTAAAATGATCAAAAGAGTAAAACACCAGCAGCATTACTTTGTATGCAAGAAAAATCCCTTGAGGTTTGTATAGGAATATTATTATCACATAACTAAACAAAATACACATTTTGGAAAGTAGGTAACCCTTTTTATTCTTTTTTTCCCACCAAGACTTGAGACAGGGGATGTAGGAGTTTGTCTGGAGATTCTTAAAACTGTTGTAATCAAAAAATAAACTGATTTTAAAACTGAGGCCAGAGATATAATTTTTTAGCGGTCAGAGACCAGATTTACAAAATCTGTATGTTATGATTGCCTTTCTGTGTGGAGATATCAGTATGGTTATTAGCTCATTTAACATTTTATAACCGCATATGAATAGTCTGCCTTTATTACAAATGTTAAAAAAATACTCTTTTAAAAATATATTTTTAAAATACAATATTTTTTCAATTTCTAATTCTCTGGGTTTTGTTTTACTATTTAAAAATTCTGTGTTTACTTATAGTCAGGATGTGAACGACTGATTCTTTCATTTGTGCCAGTGAAAAATCTTTATAGATGGATAAAGATAATGAAATCACTACCCTGAGAAGTTGATAACTGACAAAGGTGGTTATGCAAGCACAGATGACCCCACTTAGAAGTTGGAGCAGGAAGTTATTGTGATGAGATCATACTTCTCCTCCAGGGGTAGGCTGAATGCCTTGGAGCAGGGCATGTGATTCAAAACAGGTGGCAACTGGAGGGGAAAGAGCATGAAGCAAAGAAGGAAAACAGGTGAAACTGTAGAAAATGGAGGTGAAAGATGATGGTGCAGATTTGAGTTTGTAGGTGTCATGAGAATAGGATTAGGGACTTGTGGGAGGGCGGGTAGATGCATGCTTTTGGCTGAAGAGGCTGGCAGATATGGATCAGCTCTTTCTCCCCAGCAAAACTAGTGAAAAGGAGGAGGAATAACATAAAGTCAGGAATCAAAGGGTTAAAACTGATAGCGTGTGCTCCTAAATGTCACTGCAGCACCTGCTGGGATTGCGGAAAGAAATCGGCACCTGGATACCTGCAGTGCAGGAGTTAACAGATGAGCATGAAGGTTTATGTGATGGCAGTTTTTAACGCATGGCAACAGCATGGACCTGGGCAAAAGCAGGGAAAAAACAACAGTGAAAAAATGGGTAGGGAGAAAAATACAAATTAGTGAGGCATTATGTGCAGAAACTAGGAGAAAAAAAGTCTAGGATGATGTTGTGCAGCCCTTGAAATCAATAGCTTAACTTTTATTCACTTCAGCAGTACAAAGATCTTGTACCTCACACTAGTGAGGAAATATATGAGTGTGATAGCCTGGACAGTTTTTTTCAGAGGAACCTATGTATGATGCAAAGCGTGAGTGC